TATTATTATACATTAGAAGAAGAAGAAGAAGAAGAAGAAGAAGAAAAAGAAGAAGAAGAAGAAGAAGAAGAAGAAGAAGAAGAAGAAGAAGAAGAAGAAGAAGAAGAAGAAGAACCACTAAATGTTACCAACAATTTGACATTCCTTTCATTGACCTTCTTAGAGTCATCGGAACTCTCCAGAACATGGAGTCGTTCTCAGAGACGTTCAACTGCCCGGAAGGATCCTATATGAACCGAAAGGACAAGTGTAAGATCTGGTGACCTGCGTGCTCGATAATCGAGGGAGCCATACTTTGTTTTCTAAAAAGTTGCGGCCTCTACACACAAGTCGAGAAGAAACGAAATGCAATTTATTGACTGACATCGGCCCGACTGACTAACCTATGAGCTTGGATGTGAAGCCAAGTGCAGTTTTATGGTTATGTGTTTGTGTCATGGAAAGTGGTGTGTCTTCTGGGTCGACAACGACGACTAATTTTGTCGCACGATGAGGAGGAGGAAGAGGAGGTGGAGGTGATCGTGGAAGGATATGGTCACGATGGTTCTAGGAACACATTAGTTTCTTCTGTATATATGTGAATATCTGAATTTTCGACAAAGTTTTGTCAACGATGAGCGAGCATGAGCATGTGTGTGTTTGTGTATGTGTGTGTGCATTTGTGAGTGTGTGTATCTGTATATATGCGTGAGTGCGTGTGTGTATGTGTATGTGAGCTTTCGTGTGTGTCTGTGTGTGTTTGTGTGTGTATGTAATTGCAATCGAGTGTGGTCAGGACATTTGCGTGTTAACATACACATGTGTAAAAAGTGACAGAAAGAGAAAGAGAATGAGAGAGAGAGAGAGAGAGAGAGAGAGAGAGAGAGAGAGAGAGAGAGAGAGAGAGAGAGAGAGAGGGAGAGAGAACGAGAGAATAAATGGAAGGGAGACAGGGAGACAGGAAGAGACTGAACAAGAGAACGAGAGAAAGGTATAAAAGAAGAAGAGAGAGAATTTAAAAAAGCGCCCACGTTCACAGAATATTACTTGGTTTCATCTGTGACGGTTCGATAACTTTCTTTTCGAAGAAATCGTGTACTTTCAGAAAAAAATGAATCAGTCAACTTTCCTCAACTTCGACTGTTGCACTGATTAAAAAATCGTTTCATCTTGAGAGTCTCACTATTATCACAAAGTTTAAAATACGTTTGAGAATATTGTGCAAGTTTTTCTAGGTAAACTATAATAGTATAATATTTCGAAAAAAGCGTACTTCTCTAAAATAATTTAAAATAATTCACAGTTTGTAGAAACGACGCTCTGTTTATTTTTTTCATCTTGTGTGAAAGGCTTTTGGGTGATGTTTATTTTTTGTGCTTTCTTCATTTTCAATCCATTTATCTATCTATCTATCTATCTATCTATCTATCTATCTATCTATCTATCTATCTATCTATCTATCTATCTATCTATCTATCTATCTATCTATCTACCTATCTATCTCTCTTTTTCTTTCTTTCTTTCTATCTATCTATCTATTTATCTATCTATCTATCTTTCTTTCTTTCTATCTATCTATCTATCTATCTATTTATCTATCTATCTCTCTATACATCTATTTATCTAGCTATCTATACATCTAGATTCGGGCACGTATAACTGAATCACGTGGGATTGAAATACATGTACATTTTTTGAGACATCCACTATTCGGGCTAACCGGTGTAGCGAAGTGATAAAGAGATATCAGTCGGGGAATGACAAATTGTACGAGCTATCCGTGATTTTGAGTTTTCCGTGTTCGTTTTATCTATGACTGACAGTAGCTATAAATCAATTTATCCTTCTATCCACCCCACTCTTTGTCTGAAAATGTTTACTTTGCTCATTTTTTTCCTCTCACAAACACAAAAGTTATCTTAATACTTGACGAATAAAGTAATCTTTCTCATACATTTATTATACCCCTCTCGACGAAACTGTTATTTTGTAGAAGTCGACTAATTTACAAGAGAATTTGAGAATGAAATGTTTCGAATGAAGTTATCCTTTGTTGTTGAGAAATCTGAAATCTGGAAGAGCAGAGACTGAGTTGGGCTTCGGTGCAAGATGGCACGATAATATGATGATCACATGTTAACATGCTACTGAGCTTATTGTTACCTTGGGGTGAGAAGTACAGTGGAACCATAAGCGAAATCAGGGACTGGGCCTGGTCTAAATAATGAAATCGAAGGAACAGGCATTTTTCCTCAAGTTTGTCAATTTTTATCGTATTATTGTTTTTTGGCTCAACACTCTACTTGACAATTTATGAACACATTTCCAAGTGAATTTAGCTGAAAAAAACTATTGTTTAATTGCACAAAATATGTAAATATTAAGGTTCCAGGGACTATCAAGCTATAGAAGTAACCATGTATACTTTGGCGACCATTTTCTCGCTAATTTTACCCCTGAAACCATGCTCTCGACTTCTGTTCTAGATCAATAGCGTTATTTTATGAAAAGCAAAGTAGATGAATAAGCTTTCTGCTAAAACAAATAATTCCAAAAATTGACGAGTGCCTGATTCCCCCGCGTCGTGACACATAATACTTGAGTTATAATACCTTAGCCCGTTCATTTTGACGCAATACCCTGTTCACTACAATTTGACTCAATTTGGAGCACTGGAAGTGGAAAGAAGGAAGAAAAATGCCACGCACACTCGACTATAATAATATAATAATGAGACGGGTTGTTTGCCCTTCATTTTAGTTTTCCACAATGGCATGCCTGATCGTAGTTGGCATTCTTGACCATAGTAGGCATGCTTGACCATAGTGCACATGCTTGCCCATGGTCAGCAAGCTTCGCAGATAAGTTTTTGGGTTGGGTTTGTTTTTGGTTGTTTTTTTTTTTAAAAGAAAGCAGGGAACGGCGGTGATGGCACGACCTAAGATAATATTAACATAGCTCAAGCGTATGGATGGAACGAAAATCTTGGTACAGTATCATTACCTTTGACTTATTTCTCAGTGTCGTCTTTATATTGGAAGTTTTACTGGGTGTAAAATAGTGTTTGCTCGCTCTTCAACGTTATTTTTACCTTTTGTACTATGCTGTCTTTTGAGAGAATTAATTACCCTGCTGTACATTGCAACAACAATTTTCCAAATAGGGCAGTTCTTAATCGTCCTGAATTAAGGAAATGCTTCCAAGCATAAAATACATCATGATATATTCTGTCATCCATAAATTGTGTCCTTACTATAAGTAAACAAAATATATCTTTCTGTGATCATAGTAATGTGTCATGTTTTTTTTTGGTTTTTTTATTTTGATTTGATTTGATTTTGTTTTTGCTTTTAAAACCTATATTGAATGACAAGAAGGCTCATTCAAGGGTCCTTTGGGGTTGTTTTTTTTGTTTTGTTTTTTGTTTCGTTTGTTTCGTCACTTTTTGTTGGGGGTTTTTTTCATACCGCCATCTTTGATTTGCATAGTTAATCTTTACCCACCACGTGCAAGACAAAATTGAAATGATAATGTTCTGTTCCTAATTGTCAACAAACGGCACACTGCAATTATTTTCATAATGGCGTGTGCAATGTTTGTTGTGTGGGTTTTTCGTTTGTTTTTGTTTTGTTTTTATATTTCTATCTTTAACAACCTGACGCTCGCTTTTTTTATTGTCGTTCTTTGTTTTTTGTTTGTTTTAGTAAGAAGAGTTTTACGGCACTTGCAACACGATAAGGTCATATAAGTGCCGAAGATTAAAGGTGTTACAAGAGAGTACCAAACACAAAAAAGAAGGACGATAGATGTTGTCGTTCTTTAACCATGGGTCGTCCAGTATGCAGTATGAACAAAAGAGAAAGGTGTTCGAGAGGCCCTACTGTTTAAGGTAAATTTTAAGCTATTAAAAAAAATCTTACTAGGTTCCACACTCTAGAACATGACACGATATCAGGCCTTTCTACATATCCATTTGTCTGGTTACAGAGTCTGCGAAAGACGTTGCTATTTGAGAGACGAGGGGGGGGGACAAAAGATAATGTGGTCAAACATTTTCAAGGCTTATAACTAGCGATGTTTCCAGTTTGTTTTTATAAACATTATTTAGACAATTTTGATAATATTAACGCACACACGACTGTTGATGTCAGCACGGTGAGCCTTGTACACCCTTTGAACATGGAGTTAGTTTTTGTTATCAAAGTAAAACAGAGAAAATGTTGACTCACGTCTACACGACACAAGTATTAATGTTCTCAGAAAGCATAAAGCAGGCAGACGGTAGTAAGACTCACAAGATCGGCGGATACATTTTTGTTGTCTCTGTTTTTCTAGGTGGCGTCGGTAATCTATGGGTTCGGCTATCGGATTCCTGGTTCGGGGTTAAAGCCTCAGCTCGATCCGACGCTCGTATTATGTCCTTGGGAAAGGCACTTCTCACGAATGTCCCATTTTTGGCCATTTCGGAGATGGATGTTAAATTCGGAGGTCCCGCCTCCTCAGTAACCTTATTGTGTTGATAGGGGCGTTAAACCTGTAACATTTGGCCAATTATCAGTTTCTGTAATTCTGTTCGCCACGGAACACATACATGTATTATTCTTTTAGTTTCGAGTTTCCTTAAGCATTTTTATAATTGTTCTCACACACGACCGCTAACTCCTCTAGCGGGTGGGTAATTTAAAAAGAAAACCATTTTCGCGTGTAAGGGCCTTGACAGACGAGATGTAAAAATCGCAGCAGTAGTGTCTGCGCAATCTGGTGTTCACTAGGCAATGGGAGCGGTCACACGAGCGACTCGCGGTTTTGTTGTTGTTGTTTTTTTTGTATTTTTTTGTCCTGGCGTTGCAGACGTGTGTCGCCCAAATTCTGCTACGCCGCGACATGCCAGCGTTTTGGGAAGCACACGGTTCAATGGACGCGGACACACGAGATGTATTTACCTCAGGCGCATTCCTACAATAGTTGTATTTTTTCTTGCCTCTCATTCAACACGACGATTAAATATTCCCAGTGCAACCATGTCTTCTTATCACGAAGCAGAGCGTTTGATTTTGGAACTAAAGAGCAGAAATATCATTTGGGACAACACAAGTGAGGAATATAAAAACTTTTTTAAATAAATGATGCCTGGATAGATGTATGCCTAGCACTCAGACCAGAAAACAATGATGCAAGTAACTGAAGAATTTGGACTCATCTTCTTGAAGTTCTTCAAATAAGGTGTAACCCTGTCCTCTTAGTAATCTGTGAGAAACAATGACATGAGTCAAAAATCTTCTTTGTCCCTTTCTTTTTTACAGAATCTTCTCATCACCATGACCAACGCCACCCTGACTCTCCGATCGTCCATGTTGAACTGAGCTGTAGCGTTAAATGTCGCCCGTGTGGCTGCCACACAAAAGTAAGCGACACTTTCTGCGCAGAAGTTTCTGCTCGACAATTGTAGTTCGTCTGCCATGGGCCGAACACAGTTACCTTAAGTTCAAAATAATATGTTGATCAAACCTTACACGGCGGCGAGGTTTCACTCTCGGCGTGTAGACTGTAAACCACTTTAGATTTTGGCTCTTTTAAGTAATCCGAACAGATGGTTGTTTTTTTAAACAGCAACAATAATCAAGATTTAAAAATTTTGAGATCGTAGACTATGTATAGTCTTACTAAAAAATCTAAGAGCCTGAAAGAGCAGTGTTGTTTTCGAAGCCGTTTAACTTCATTAGTGAAAAATAGAATATTATGAATTGTGGGACTTCTCTTGTCTGTTTTAAACAGTCCAGTCAAAGAATATTCTCTACTAGAGAAATTTTGGTCCAGTGGCGTCAGGAGAGTCAGCAAGTAGCCGAAAGGTAGTGAGTGGGTAGTCTTTTTTTTTCGAGCAATTTTTGTACAAATCCCATCATTTGAGTGTTTTTGT